TACAATTATGTCTGATTGACATGCTCATGTATTATCAATTTTTCCTACTTGATATTATAAATAAAAAAAAAAAAAAAAAAAATATATTTTAAAATTTACAAAAATATGAATATTTGGATAAAATTTTTAAAGTAACTCAAATATGTCTTGACTAACTATTTTTAATGAAGAATATAAAAAAATTAAAATATTATTTATATATTTTATTAATTATTATAAGTAGTAAAATTTTAAATATTTAAGATAATATTCTTTTAAATTACTATAAAATGCTAAGTAATGTATACAGATATCTATAAGTGTTTTCTAAAACATAAATATTCTATCATAAAATATAATTTGTAGAGTATATAAATATATCTTTAATAGAAATGGGGTTCTGAAGCCTAGTGGTCTAGGCACTTTTCTCTTTACAGACAAAGTCAATGGTTCAATTCTAGCTAGAGGCAAAACTCTGTAATCTATGGAAGCATATGAATATATGCAAAGCCCTGTGGCTAAGTTCATATGATTAGAAGACTGATATATAAGGAAGTTTCTGAAAAAAAGATTTCCAATATGGAGAGTTGGTGCTTAATGCAAGAAAAGTGGTGAACATACCAGAAATAGAGAGAAGGTGCACTAGCAGGTGATACAGTGAACATAAAAGAAAACTATGAAAAAGAAATAGACTTACTAAAATTTAAGCACTTCTGGCATCAAAACCAGTTATGAGATTTACTAAAATTAAATAAATCTAAGAGATAATCTTGGTATTATACTTAGTAAGTTTGCATTGAGAGTATATTCGAAGAACTATGGATACTTAGTAATATCCAATATGGTAGTACTTAGATATAAATAGTAATTAAATTGCTCTAACCTGTTCTGTCATAATACTTAGTGATATATATTGTATATATATACAGTAAGTGTTGAAAATTAGAAAGTTTAAATAAGAGACTTACAGATGGGTCTCAGGTATAGCATCTAGTAGGTAACCCATAAGTGGAACTCTTAATTAGATAATGACTAAAGTTATATATATGACTAGTTGTACTTTTATTAATATATTCTGTATATATAATATATAATCTTATATGACTAATAATAAAAAGATACACAGATGAAATCAGCTTTGAAACTAAAAAAAAAATAATATAAATATAACTTTAATTTATAGATACAATTATAAGCATCTACAATTTAGTACTTTATAATATTATGCATATATAATTTTTTTTTGGTATTAAGATGATTTTTTAGGTCTTTTGACTTTTATTTAACAATAGTAAATGTGTTCAGTAAACTACTACAGAAAAAGCATTGTTAACATTAAGAGTTTACACATTTTTGATTATAACTTTTGATGTACTGAACCAATTTGAATAAAACAACCATTATTGAATTTAGCTCATTTAAACAGTTTTAATGAGTACAAAACATATAATTCTAATTATAGAATTACAAAATCAGGATAATTTTAATAAAATACTAATTTTAGTATATGTGACTTGAATATAAATAGTTAAATTAGCTAAGCTTCAAATCTCTCAAAAAGCATATATATTATATATATCATATTTCTCAAATATATTATATATATATGTCATACCTCAGATTCGAATAGGTGTGGATTCAAAATTGAGTTGCGTAGGATTAAAATTTGACTTTGAGATGTGTCAAATCAGTTTATCATTTATGCATCATACTAAAATATGCATAATAAATGTTGTAATAACAAGCTAATAAACCAAACTGAAACCTCTTAGACTTTTTTTTGATCGAATTAAATACTATGGAGTATTCATTTATTTCACGACAAACTTTTGATGATCTAGTCAAAAAATATATTGAAAATTTGGCACCAAACAAGAGAGAAAAGGCCTTGATAAGCCAAGTTAAATTACAACAAATAAAGGAAGTTCTTCTTGATCCCACAAATACTAAATTATACACCTGTATTTTATTATTGGGTCAAAAATAAATTTAAATTACAAAAAATTTCATCCAATTCTTATATTGTATTTCATGTTCAGACACAAATAAAAAACAATGAAAAAATTAAAATAGAACTTCCTGTATTGGTCATAGAAAACATGTATAATGAATTTTGCCAAATACATGCCATGGTTACTCAACATGCAGGTCAAGAAGAAACTTGGAACCAAATTAGTAGTAAATGGGGTTATTGCCGGCAAGATCTTGTTGAACGTTTTGTATCACAATGTACTGTATGTGCAACAAGACTTATAAGAATTTCACTATTAGCCGGAATACCAATTATTGAATGAAAGTTTATGTCACATTTACAGGTAAATATTTTATATAATAATATATTAATTTTTATTATATATTTATATAATAATAATATAAAATTAATAATTAATAGATTGATTTAGTCAATATGACTTTTTAACAAGATAATAAATTCAAATATATTGCTCATATTCGTGATCACTTTACAAGATACTCATGAGCTCGTGCACTTACTTCAAAATGTTCAGTTGAAGTAGCAGCTTTTTTATTTAATGTTTTTACAACATTTGGACTACCTTTAATTCTTCAATCAGACAATGGAAGAGAATTTGTCTCTTCAATAATTACTGAATTGATTCAATTGTGGCCTACAATCCAAATTATTCATGGAAGGCCAAGACATCCTGCAAGTCAAGGTCTGGTTGAACGAGCAAATGGAATGCTTGAAACTAAATTAGGAAAGTGGATGAAGAATAACAAACGTCAAGATTGGTCATTTGGATTGAGATTTATAATTTATGCAATGAATAATTCTATTTGTAGAGCACACAATAAAAAACCTTATAAACTTGTATTTGGTGGGGTTCTGCATGGAAATTCTGCTATGATTGATCAGTTATTTAAGAATAATATTTCTTATGAAGATGAAATTCTGAATAAATTTAATTTGGAAAATATTCAAGAATCAATTAATAATTTAGATGATTTAATTTATGATACTTCACCTACAATCGAGTTCTCAGTAAGTTTAAATCAAGATTTAAACTTAAATAATTTAATTGATAATATGGATAATGCACCCATAATTAAATCAAGTCAAAATTCAAGTTTAAACAATTTGATTGACGATACTGATACTATAATTGAAACTTCAACTGATGATACTGAAATATCTATAATTGAATCGTCAAATTTAAATCCAAATTTGAAAATGGTAAATTTATTTATAATTAATTATTAAATTATGTATTACAAGAATGCCAATTCGCGTATAAAAAAAAAAAATAAAAAATTATGTACTACAATAAATATAATATAAATTAATATTTCTTTAGATTGACTCTTCTTCTCAACACTCATGTACTTCACAACCATTGCAAGACTTAACAAATCAAATTTTAACAGGTCATCAAGTATTATGAAAATTTGCTCAACAAAATTTAGAGAATTACACGATGAAGATGACTTCTGTGATGGTTGTAAAATCAAAATATAAACTAGAATATGAGATCAGAGAGTATGTAAAAATTCTTATTCCCAAGATCGACTGATTTGGTACAGATCGACCTATACTTCCATGCAAGATTTTAGATAAGTTGAATTATAATCAAGCATTCAAATACTGTCTTGGATGCAAAAGTGGCATATTAAATAATTTATATTGTGTCAGTGAATTGGAACCAGTAGGCGTAAAAGAATACTCAGAGTTAAATAATATTCCAACAGATAATATTTCTGTTAGAGAAGCTGCACAAAATCAAAATACTGATGGTGCCTTTATGGGAAGTATGTGCAAGTATAAAAATAATTGTGGTACTAATAAATGCCATTGCAAAAAGTCTGGAGTTGGGTGTGGAAGTAAATATCATAGTGGAACAATGTGCAATAATAGAAATCTAAATTAAAAATACATGTATAATTTATATTCTGCTTAAATTTATTTTTGCTATATTACTATATTATATATTTTATATTATCAATTTTAAATTGACATACAATAAATAAATTAATCTGACACATCTCAAAATGAAATTTCGGTCTGATGTAGCTCAGTTTCAAATTCACACTCATTCAGATCTCACGCACAACATATATATTAGATTTCTTTCATATATACAATATCTTTTATATATAGCATATAGTATATATTTTTTTTCGAGTTAACATGCAGTCAATAGATCGAAAAGATAGCTGAACAGTAACGCCATGCCACTCTGGGCACATGATCAAGTCCCAGCTAGGACAGGGAGCATGCAAAAAACCTGTATCATAAAAACACACTCGAACGCAAGTATGACCTTCTATCAGCTTGCTGATAAAGTAATCATGAAGTAATCAATGATCCCGAACAAGATCAGGCCAAGTACAGATAAGTATAACACTACATAATGGATGCAAACCTATGTGTGTTTCTATGACTAAACTGAATTGCTAAACGTTGTATTCGCATCTCTGTCCCACCCTCCCAGAATGACAGTAGGCTTCACAACAACAATAAAAAAAAAAAAAGAGAAGAGAAAGGGGGAACTCATGAGGTATAAAGCAGGAATAGTTCGAATTCTGCCATTTTCGTTGCAACTGTTTATTTTTATTTGTTGGCTGGCCTGAGTTATGCAGGTGGGAAACCACCAGCCATTGCTGCGCTCATGCTCCTTCTGCTGCCTATAGGATACTCAGCGCAATCTCGATTGCTATTTTCTGAATTCAGATCCTGTTTCAGTTTATTTGTACATCGATCGCAACTGATGTATGCATTCTTTAAATAAAAATTCATTTTCGGCACATGATGCCGGATTCATCCAAATACAGTCACATGCATGCAATGCTTTTCAATATCTTTAATATTTCTTATTATATATTACTATATTTAGTATATTCTATTAAGATAGTTTATCTTTATTATAATAATTTATATATATAAAATATCTATAAAAGTATTGCTTTTTAATCTTTTAAGAAAGTTAAATGTTTTTACACTATATATAAATATCTTCATACACTTAAGAAGTGTTTTTATATATTTTATAGTTAATAAACTGAATGCAATATTTAGTATCTACATATACTATCTATTGTTGCCTTTAGCTTAAAATTTCAAATCACTCTGTATTTTGTTAAGTCTTGTATAGACTTTGTATAGAATCTGTTAAGTTATAGTCATTATACTATAGTTGAACAGCTTTTGTTATCACTATAGTTAAAGAAAAAACTATAGATTAACAGTATACAATCAGTTACACATGTAACTTTTCTATATTACCTATTTAAGAAGTCTGCCTATAGGTTTTTTACCAATTGTTATACCTAATACTCTGCTTGGGTATTCCATTTTAACTCTCTGAACCTGCAAACCTGTTAACTTCATTAGATCATACTTAAATGCTCAGATTATTGTCTTAACCTTAGAACTATTTTATTCTCAAAGTAAACCACCTAAAGCCTTTTGTATCTATTTTTATAACTGATCTAGTATTGCTATATTAGAACCAATACTTATGATCAGAGCTAACTATTAAACTGTATAACTTTGTAGAGTTCACATAGACTCCAGCATCTACTTCACAGTATAACTTCAGTACTTTAGTATACCTTTGCCTTTTGTTCAGCCTTTTGTTCAAACTTCTAATCCAAATAGCCTATATAGGACTATGACCAGTCTATTAGTATATTGGATCAGTCCAATATGCTTTTTCTTTATTTTATTTTGGCAGTCTAGTTGGTGGTACCTCTAAGACTCTCAATCCAAAGTTTCTTGCCTATTCAAATTCTATGACTGGCTACTATGACCTAAGTATCTGTTTTCTTAGACTAGCCTTTACAGTAGAGCTATCAATGATCTGGCTACTTTTCTAATTAGATCTTTCTAAATAGACATTTTGTTATCCAATTTTAACAGATTTACATAATCACAAGAACTTATTTAGTGTTTGCATTGCTTAATTTGCTGGTTTGCATTTCTTTGTATAACTAGTTACAGAAATGCTCTATGACCTGCCAGTAATGCTAATGTGACTACTATTACAGGTATCCTAACCTAATTGTTATTAACAGTTGCCATAATATAAATATTACATAGATGATTATTCAAATTTTTACTTTCGATAAGATTTGAATACCTAACCTACTACTTGGGAGATTGACAATTTGACTACTTTACTAGGTTGCTACTTCACTTATAATATCATAAATATAAAATAAAATTTTATTTATATAATAAAAAATTTTTTTAACTGTTTCTAATAATTGAGTTAGGATACTTGTAATGATAGTTGTATTAGCATAACTGGCAAGTTATGGGTATTTGTATAAGTATAATGTTATACAGAAGAATGAAAACCAGTATCAGGTAGTGCAAACTCTAGATAAGTTCTTGTAGTTATATAAATCTATTAAAATTAAAACAAAAAGTTTATTTAAAAAGATCTAAGAAAAAAATAGCACAGATCTTTGATAACACTATTTTAAAGACTAGAACTAGGAAACAGATATCAAGGTTATAGTACCTGAATGGACAAGAACCTTTAGATTAGGATTCTCGAAGTTACTACCAATTAGATTACTAAAACAAATTAAAGAAAGAAAATATTAGGCTGATCTGATATATTAATAGACTGGTCATAGTTCTAAATAAACTTCTGAATTAGAAGTTTGATAAAAAGGCATGCATATACTAAAATAACAGAGATATCTGTAAAATAGATGCTGAAGTTCAAATAAACTCTACAAGAACATAGTTTTAAATAATATAACTCTAATTATAAGTATTGGTTCTGTTATAGTAATACAAAGTTAGTTGTAAAAATAGATGCAGAAAGCTTCAGAAGATTTATCTTAAGAATAAAATAGTTCTAAAGTAGAGATGATGACCTGAGCTTGACTCAGTAATATTAATACAAGTGCAGATTCAGAGGATTTAAAATAGAACATCTAAGCAAAAATGTTAGATATAGCAATTTGTAAGAAACCTTCAAACAGACTCCTTAAATAGATAATATAGAAAAGTTATATATATAACTAATTATATACTCTTTCTATAGTGGTTTATAGAATTACATTATCAAAAAAGTTGTTAATAAAAGTTAAAAGGCCAAAGAAATCATTTTTCACTAAAAAAAAAGTAAAAAAAAATCATCTTTCACTAAAAAAAAAGTAAAAAAATTTTTTTATTAAAATTTATTTAAAGAATATTATTAATAAGATTTTAATTGTCTTTTAGCAACTCTTATTAGCTTTAATTACTTTTTTTATATTTTTAATTTAATCTTTTAAACTGGCTTAGCATGGGCAATATGAAATTTCTAATTGAAAAGCTATATAAAATGCTAATATCATTATTATATTTATAACAAAATCTTTATATAAACTTAATAAAGCAAGTAACTACATAGATACAATTTACATATTTGTAATTTTATAGTAAATATAATCAGAAAATCTTTAGAATAATTTCTAAAAAGACTCAGCTTCAATTATTTATATATCTTTTTAATTTTAAAACAAAAACTAAGATTCACAATATTAAACAAGATTAAATAGTATTATACAACTATATTTGATTTATATATAACTTGTATTAAGATAACATTTAGAATTTGTTATTTATATACTTAAAAAAAATGTTATTTATATTAACCCAATTTTTTTAGATAACTAATATTAAATTCTAAAAATATAGAAAATTACAAACCAAATTTAAAGTTATAATTGGTTCACAATATGCTGATCATAAGAGAGTATTTTATAAAATAATTATTTAATTGTGACAAGTTAAATTTTTAAGTCTTATATAAGGTTTAAACATATCTTTAATATTTAATACTTATATAAGCAAAATTTTTAGTTAACAAGAATGTACACTACCAAAAGCACCTATTGAATTTAAAGAATGAGAGTTCTATAGTCAAGTTTTATTCTACTTTGCACATGAATATGAAGGTAAGTTATCAAAGCTTGTCTATATATATTGGATCAGAAGTCCAAAAGTTTATATAGATAATATAGAATATTTTTATAACTTCAGTAAAATAAAACTTATCAATGTTATTACTATTGACCATTTTGTTGGGTTTCATAAAGTTGCAATAAATAAATACATTATTATAGATAGAGAAAGCAAGTTATGTTCTGATAAAGTTCAGAATATCTGGGTTATTTTATAATACATAAAGTCAAAAATATAAAATTTTATAAATTTTAAATTCGAAAAATTTCTGAATATTTTAAAAAAATTAGTTTAAATCCTGGTAATTTCTGAATTCTAACTAGTTTAAAAAAATTTTCTGCAAAATTTCTAGAACAGTATCAATATCGAAGTTTTTATTTTAGATTATATAATTTCAGTTTGGAATATAATCGAAATAGATTCAACCCATCCGGAATGCAATATGAATACGTTCATTAAATTTTTTTATAGGGTTATAACAATAATAAAGCTATAAATTTCAGGCTATGCAAATAAATGTTCCAAAAGTTCTACATAATGAACTATATAAAGTTTTATTGATCAGCACAGTAATGTCAAATAAATCTTACATCTTTGCAGTCAATTTTTGTTATTAAACAGTTTATAACAGACTAACTTGTCTTGTGCATGTGACTTCGAACCTTGTGATATTATTCCAATTTACGGAGGTAATAAAATTAAGGTGTAGACTGGTTGTTTTGATGATCTGGAACAGGTTAAGCCACCAATTTTTGACTGTCATAAACTATTAAATTAAAAACTTATAAATTCAAAAGTTGCCTTTTAATATTAACAAACAAATATTTATATAAAAAAATGCAAGCTTTTGATTTTAAAATTAAAATAATGAATACCACATTAATATTCCTCTAGTATATTATAATTACTTTAAGCAAAGCAAACATGTCATTTCTTTAACCGTGTTAGTCATTCAACACCTTCTTAAATAATAATTTTTTTAAACATAATTTTACCTTTTTCGAATAGAGATAACTCAAAGAGATGAATTCTTCTTTCCTTCATATCATTTATTCATGAATTCATATTTTCACAGTATATTTGATTGAACAGTCGCAAAAGAAAATAGTTGGGAGATTTTATTTTTAATATATTATTCTTATCTTTGAATTTATCTAACACAGTTCGTAATGTCGGCCTAATATTTTGACAATTTGAATTAATAACTAAAAATGAAGTGAGACCGAGTTATAAGTTATTTAAAGCAACTTTAGATAAATCGCTACTTCAGATGCAACATTTACACTGATAAATAGTGTCAAAAAGTTGTTTCATTTTTTTTCATATCTCTGTATCAATATGGACAATACACTTTGTTCCCGAAATTTTTTTTTTCAAAAAAAAAATTAAGCACTATTTATAATAAGTGAAGTGTATAGGCAAATCTTGCTAGTTAGATATAGAAGTTTATTATTATTATTTATTATAGACTAAATGGATTAAATAGATAAATATAACAATTAACAGCTTCGCTAACATAATAACAATTTAATTTCGATAATAGTACTGAAACTTGAAATGCTGAAATATAGATAAAATTAACTTACACACTAACGCTAATTAATCGACAGTAAGTTTCATCATCAGCCATACATTAAAGAATCTAATTTCTTTTGTTATTGTTATACTTAAATGGTTAACAAACATTTTGAAATACCGTAGGCATATTGTTTATACGAATGTAGATCCTGTAGTGATGGTCAAACATTTTATCATGTGAATCAAAGAATAATATCTCATAGATAATTGGGCATGCGGTGTATTTTTATTCATTGTGTGTCCAATACTATTTTATTATAAACCTTACAGTTCGGTAAATATACATTCTTATATTGATTAAAATGATTTATTATGGATATTCCGTTTCGGAAACCAAGGTTATCATTATTATATAAAAAATCAATTATATAAACTACTGTGAAATCAATAATCTTCTAGATTCATAAACTATTGTACAAATTGGTAATCTTCTAGATTCATAATAAACTATTTTAACGAATCAATAGTCTTCTAGATTCATTATAAGCTACTGTGCAAATCAGAAATCTTTTAAATTTATTAAATACTATTGTGAGAATTAATAACGGTTAATAGCCTTTTTTCTAGATTAATTATGGCATCAATACTCGCGTAGGTTATGTTTCCCAAAAAATTTAGCATGCTTTATTTATCTTCTAATTCATTTAAAAAATTTTAGTAACTGGTGGCCAAAATATATTCCAAAGAGAATTATAATTATCATTTTTTGTATTTTTGCTATTATCATCAGTTATGCCGGTATATTTCCAATGTGAAATCTTTATTTTTTTTAAAAAAAAGAAACTTGTCAAATTCATTTGTAAATTATTTATAATTATCTATTCATTGATTTCATGAAAGATCGATCAAATATGACAATTGCCATAATTTATATGGCTGAGGAATTTAATTGGAGCCCTAAAATACAAGGCATCATATCGTCATCTTTTTATTTTGGATATTTTATGACCCAGATTATAGGTGGTGCGCTTACTGACAAATTCGGCGGTAAAAGTGTATTAGGTATAGGTAAGTAGTATTTTAAACTTATAATTACTTAAATAATGAATTATTTTAATTGAATGCTTTGTTTATTTCTAGCTGCTGTAACTTGGTCACTCTTTACTTTAATTACTCCAATTGCCGCTAGAATCAACTTATATGTGCTTATAATGTGTAGGATTTGTTTAGGAATTGGTGAAGGTGTATGTTTTCCATGTGTTCACTCTTTAGTTTCAAAATGGTTTCCGCCCCAGGAACGAACTAGAGCTGCTTCTGCTATATCTGTTTCAAATTTTATTGGTTTGGTAATCGCCATGCCAATTTCAAATTTATTAGGTTCTAGTCAGTTGGGTTGGGAATGTATTTTTTGGGTATTCTCAATTATTGGTTTGATTTGGTCTGTTTTTTGGCATTTTTACGGGGAAAGTGTTCCCACTGATTATTCAGGAATTAACAAAGATGAATTAGACTGGATTTTGGAAAACAAAACATCCATTAGTAAATCGACTAATGAATCAATTGATTGTCCTGAAAACAAAATCGGTCATTATCGATCATGTTCTAGTGAATGTATTACTATTACTGACGAAGAGCTTGGTCGTCCTCGAAATGAAAATGACATGTTATTACCAAAGGGTCGAATATCATCATCGTCACATAAAGTACATAAAATTCCTTGGAAATTATTATTTTCTCGTCGCGAAGTGTGGGCAATTATGATTGGTTCATTGTTTAATGGTTGGAGCCATTTTGTTCTGCTTAATTGGTTACCAATATTTTTTTACGATCATTTTCATGTAGATATTAATTTAGTTGGATATTACACTGGTATAAATCTTAGCATTATTAACATTGGTTGTATTTATTTTATCTATGAACTTTAACAAACTTACAATTTTATAAATTTATATTAGTTTTACCTTACTTTTTATACATTATAACGGGAGCTATAGTTGGTTGTATCTGTGATTATGCGATTAATCAACTAAAAATTCGCGTTTTAACTGTACGAAGATCTGTTTGTATAATTGGTGGCTTTGGAATGTCATTATCTCTATTACTTGTAAGCATACAAAAAAATTAAAAAATTTTTTGTTGTATTTATTTTTAATATATATATATAATTTATAGGTAACATATTGGGCAAAAACATCTCATGAAGGATTATTGATAATGTCGATAGGTTATGCATTATATTCATTCAATATCTCGGCTTTAAATGTATCTCATGTAATTAATTAATTAATTTACCTATTCATTTGTAATTTACTCATTTAACATAAAATTAACTCTTATTAATTACAGTTGGATATTGCTCCAAAATATGCGGGTTTTGTATATGGTTTAGGAGGTACTTTTGCATTAATCCCTGCTTTTTTTGGTGTAGCATTAACCGGTTGGATATTAGAAGTTACTGGTAATGATTGGAGTATTATTTGGAATATGTGTTCCTTATGCTATATTATCGGGGTTTCATTTTTTGTTTGTTGGGCTGGTGGAGAGGTAATAATTGATTGATGTAAAATAATAGTGTAGCGCTTTAAGTATTATAAGTGTTATATAAATATATTTATAATCCAAAATTGATAATAGTATCTCACCCCTGTACACTTATATATTATGGTTACCAGCTGAAATTTTATTTTACATCGCAATGTATAGTTAATATACAGAATATCATTCCAAATCTTAATTAAAACTATTTACCCAACATTTTTTTTGACCAGAGATGCCTATAATTTCCCAAAAATTAATTATCCCTTAAACCGCGGGCAAATTTGCCCGCTAAAATTTCTGAGAGAAAATTTTATAGGGTAAAAAAAAAAAATCATAAAAATCTTAACTAGGCTAGAACAACTCTTTAAGGCAAGGATTACATGACGTGCCATAACATTTAAGCATGGTTCATGTCATATAATCGGAACAAAGGACAAAAATTCAAGTCACACGGAAAATAGGATGTTATTGCATGAATTTTGGTTTGTGATCCAAATTTTTGGGTCTTCCGAGCAGATTAAAGTACTGTTGGGTTCGGAAGTTTGCGACTCGGTCGCTCCAAAATTCTAAACCTCGTGTAACGTACGACAAGTAACCTTTTCGAAAGAGGGTGTTAGAT